TGAGGGTGTGGGGTCCCCAGGAAGGCAGGACTGCTCAGGGACCTGGGGAGGGGAGACAGGTAGGAAGAGGTGAAAGTCAGACACCCAGAAGGAACATTAGGGAAGAGGCAGGGGAGGGGCCGAAGGTCCTAGAAGACACTGAGGGAGTGGGAGGGGAGGAGGGGAGCAGGGAGCCACTTGGGGGGTCCCAGTTGCCGTCAGAACCTCCATAGTGTCATGAAAGGCATCGCCCCTTCCGGGCAGGTAGGGGCAGGGGCGAGGTCCCCTGGAAGCACTAGAAGGGGCTCCAGGCTCCTCCTGAACATGGTTGGCAAGGGCCCTGGGGGTTGGCAAGGGACGAGAATAAAATTAAAAAAGAAAATTTCTCTGGGGCCCAGCCTTGAGGAGGGGCACACTGGCTGCCGGTCACCAGGAGCAAGCTCCCCAGAGCTCTGTGGGGTCCCCCACAGCTGGTGGGAGACACGCCATCCATAGACTAAGGGTTCCTGGGGCTTAGGGGTGCTCGGAGCTGGGCCCTGAGGTGGGGGTCAGGTCTCACTGACCTTAGAGCACAGCCCAGGCCGTGGCAAAGTTCTGGCCTGCACCCCTGTAGAGAACGGCCAGGAGACCAGCCTGGTCCTGGACCCGTGGGCCCACACAGAGCAGAGATAGATGGCCCTGAGGGTGGGCTCCCGGGGTGGCCGGTGGCCACAGGCCCCTGAGATGAGTAGGTTCACAGGGAGAGCTGCACGCTGAGGCCAGGAGATGTGCATGGGGGTGTTCTCAAGGGGGCCAAGGCACCGTGCACAGCACACGCAAGAGTCAGGCTGGGGCTGAGGCCCCCGCAGACAGGAAGGGAAACTTCTGGAAACGCCTGTGGTCTGGGAGGGTGGAGTGCCGGGCCAAGCTGCTGGCCGCGGCTGGTGCGCCTCCCTCCGGAAGATGCGGGAAGGTTCTTGGTGGAGGCTTTGCCGCAAGCCCGAACTCGTCTCCCTCCCACGAGCCTGGCACTTATTTTCCCACTTTACAAAGGAGGAAACAAAGGCGCAGGGACCCCGACCTGCCTAGGCGGTGAAAAGAAAGCCCTGGCCCTGGGCTGGCGGCAGAGTCTTTCCCCGTCCCAGGTGACAGCCCCTACACACGTCCCTGACCCTGCTCCCTGGATCTCCCAAGCCCAGGTCAGCTCGCGGGCTGGGACCTGGGCAGCCTCGGTCTGGGGCCGCCTCTCAAGGACTCGGTCTCCCCAGAGCCTGCCCGGCATGGACTAGATGGAAGTGAGAACAGGGACCCAGGACGAGACTCAGAGACGCCGGAGTGAGGGGCCGGAGCACCAGGGCCAAGAATGGGCCAGGAGGGGGTACTGGAAGTGGTTTGTAACGTGGCACCTCATCTTCTCTGGGGGTCTGGGAAGTATTTGCCCAGATGTGAAAGTTAAGGGGCAGGGTCACAAGCACTGGGTGCTATCAGAACTGATCACCCATGGGTGGGACGGGGCTGGAGGGCGGTGCTGAGAGAGTGAGGGTGGCTGGCGGAGAAAGAGCAGCTCGAACCTCAGAGCATCTGCCAGACAGGACCCAGAGAGTCTTTAAGACACTCCCTGGCTCTGAAAGCTAAGTGTCTTTCACCTCCTCCAGAAAGTCTTCCTAGATAGCCCACTTAGCTCTAATCTCTTCCTCTGCCAGGCCTTTGACTGTTTGCCTACGCCTCATGCCTGGCTCACTCACTGGAAAACAAAACAACCACAGAACAGAGACAGAGAGAGAGAGAGAGAGAGAGAGAGCACGCTCAGAGCCCTCGCCCTCACCGTCAGCCCAGGGGTCTGACACACCTCAGGCGGGGAGGGAGGGGGGCGGGACTGGGCGGGTGCACTGCTCAGGACTGGGGCCAGGAATCCCAGGGGCCCAAGGAGGGGCTGAGTTCCCTGACAGGCAGTAAAGAGGTTCAGGTAGGGGCGACACCAGCTACCCCCCGACTCCAGAGAGAGGACGGGGCGGGGAGCCAGGAGTCAGAGCCTGGGGGCTTGGGAGCCAGCCTGAGCTTGCCGGGGCCAGACACAGCATCTCCCCCAGTGGGCAGCCCACATCCTGCCTGCTCTCTGCTCAGGGCGGCACCCCTCAGCCCTGCACCAGGGGAGGTGCAGTACCCGGGGCAGCTGGTTGGGGGCAGCAGACGCCCAGAATACAGGAACCCTTCATGCTGGGACACCCACAGCAGCTGGAGAGAGAGAAGGCATGGGAGGAAGGTGTCCAGGGAAGGGACCCAGTGCCCTGGCCCCATGCCCAGCCCTTTCCGCCAGGGCTCTGCTCTTGCGGGCCGGCTGCAGCGAGCGTGAGGCCCAGAAGCACAGGGTCATCATCATCGTCTCCCGAGCTGGGTTTGGAGACGGCAACTCTGCTGCCATCTGGACGGGCTCTTTCTGGTTACTTTCATATTCCAAATATTCTTTCTTCGTGACACTTCTGATGATATGTCTGAGGGCTGACGCCCGAGAGAGAAATCTCAGCTGCCCTCTCCTGTCACTCGTCTTCCTGAGTGGGCCTCATCTTAGGTATTCTTATTTCTGACTCTTCATCCTCATCACAGACGCTCCACTTTTAACGTGCTCCAAGATCAACTGGGGGAACTAGTTAAAAAGGGTGACTCCTCGGCTCCCTGAACCTCCGTCTGGTGGAGACTTCAGAAATGCATGTTACAGGGCTACTCCGAGTGACAGGAATGTCCCGGGGCTTCCTGAAAGTCTCACCTGGACTCCCTTCTTTTGGCTGAGCTGTTTTATCTCCCCCCCTCCCACCCGAGCCCAAATATCCTTCCCTGTGAAATGTGTCTTATTAGATGGCACCTCCGCGGTGGATGTGGGGAGAATCAAGCGAGTCCACGCACAAATGCTCAAAGGGCATGCAGAGCCCCGGGAGAGGTCACTTTGCAGCCACTGTTTGTCACAAGGGTCACATCGGCCTGCAGGGCTGTACCTTGCGGCCTCTTGCACCGCCCCACAGTTGTGACTTCCTCCAGGGGTCTGCGGATCCCATTCAACATGTGTCCACAAGTGTCACAGCTAGGGGGACAAGTTATTTGAACTTCAGACAAGTGAGTGCATATGACATACGTGGCTTGACATGTGCTGTGTCACTGCGTGATGTCCCTCGTTGGGACAAGTGTGTGTGTGTGTGTGTGTGTGTGTGTGTGTGCGCGCGCGCGCGCGCACATATGAGTGTGTGTGTGTGTGCATGTGCGTGCGTGTGTGTGTGTGTGTGTGCGCATATGAGTGTGTGTGTGTGTGTGCATGTGCGTGCGTGTGTGTGTGTGTGAGTGCGCGTGCGTGGATGTGCTCATGAGGCTCTCCTCCCTGTGTAGGCTGGCTGGGGCTAAGTCAAACAGTCCCGCATCAAATGGCTACAGGGTTCTCATTCTGAGTCAGACTGGTGGACCCGAAGCCAGAGAGGATGTGGGGCAGCGTGAAGGGACACAGAGCAAGGCTACCATGGTTCCAGGAAGACAGGACCTTGACTGTCATAGAGGTTGGGGACGAGGACAGTGGCATGCAGGCCTGCGGAGGGGGCCACCAGCCTGCTTGCCGGCTATGAGATGGGGGCCAGTGGGGTGGGTGGGCGGGAGTGCTAGTGCCTTCTCACTGAGAGCGTCATGGTTTGATGGCATCTGTCTCCCTGGAGGACCGGAAGATGCATGCCCCTGCGAGGTGGCATTTTAGTAGGGACACACACGCACTCACACAGACACAAACATACACACACACACACACACACACACACACTTGTCCCAATGAGGGGCCTCCATGCAGTGACAGAGCACATGTCCATCTCTGGGGAGAGGGGGCCAGGGAATCCAATTGGCAAAGATCTTTGGGTGTGCTGGGACAGAGGCTGCTCAGAGGAAAACCAGCATGCAGGGATGAAGGGAGTGAGGCACCTTGAGTTAGACTTAGCCTCTTGTCCCTGAGGACTCGGCCCACAGTGCCTTGCTGGGCTTGCGCGCACACACACACACACACACACACACACACACACACACACACACGCTTCCTCCCCTGAGCAACTCCTACCTGCACTGAGGACCTGACGGCACTGGTCCAGTGTGCGTTCCTTGTTTCTTTAGAATCCTATCCCAGCCCCCGCACAGTCGGCCCAGTGAGGGTCCACATCCTTTTACCCCCCCCCCCCCCTGGGATCCTGAACAGGATGCCTGGACAGAGGTCTTGCTCAGAGTGCCGCCATCTGAACACACAGGGACCATAGTAAAACCAGGCCCACATCCCAGCTGGAGGGGGAAGGGAACCCGCCAGAGAAGTAGAGGGTGGCGGGCAGGGCCTGCTGACCTGCAGGAGCATGAGGGGCTACGAGGGATACGAGGGGGGGGAGCAGCACAGCCAGCTGCAGACAATGGGGTGCCGGGCAGAGCTCCAAAGCCTCTGGACCAGGCAGGACTCTGCTCCTCACCCCTGCTTCAGGGCCCAGGGCACAAGGGGCAGGAGCCTGCCCTGGGCACACTGGCAGTATCTCAGCGATTTCTGGGAGTCACTTCTCCCCCGAGCCTGCCTGGCCAGGACCAAATGGCTCAGGTCTGGGGGAGGCCGGAGGGCAGCCCAGCCCGGGGGAGGTGGAGGAGGCGATGTCAAGGCCAAGGTGGGGACCACAGTCCATAGGGAGACACGAAGACCCTTGTGGCAGCCATCATTTATTGCAGGGGAAGCAGAGACCTGGGCAGGACCCCGGTCGGACAACACAGAGACAGAGAGGCCCTTAGCCACGGAGACCCAGGAGGGGTGCAGGGACCAGAGGCTTGCCTGAGGGGCAAGGGAAGGGAGGAGCGTCCTGTGCGTGGGTGCGACTGCAGGCCCTGGGGGCCCATGAACACTGGCCAGAGGGAGGTCAGCGCCAGGGCTCAGGGCAGGGTTGGTCTCGGAGCACCGGCCCGCAGACAGCGACAGCGGGGTCACCAACAGCCGGGGGCACTGGGGAAGGGTCCGGGGGGCGTGGGGGTGGGGGCTCCGCAGCTCTCTGCCCGCTTGCAGAGCCGTCCCGCGCCCACCGCTCATCTGGAGGCCTTCTTGGTCGCGCAGCTGGGGCCCGAGGTCTTGGCCAGCGGGTCCTTGAACTCGCTGCTGCCACAGCTGCCTTTGGTCTTCACTTCCGCCACTGCTGCTGCCGGTTTGTAGCTGTAGGTGCTGGAGGCGCCGAAGCCCACGCTGAAGCCAGCCCCTGCCGGCCCGGCGTTGGTGTTGCTGATGACGGCTGCGGTAGAGACAGGAGGCCCAGCCCCGTCAGCCCGTCCGGGGGCTCCTGGCCCCTCCTCAAATCTCTCCCGCGTCGGGACCTCACTGGTGCATAGACTCTGCTCTGCAGTTTCCCCTTACAAGGGGCTTGGTGCCTGCTCTGAGCATCTCTCAAGTGCTGGCCCAGGGCCCTGTGCTTTACATCGATCTAGCCCACAAGCCGTAGCAAGTTGGTGATAACCTTCACCTCCTCCAGGGTAGCACTTCCCTGCACCCATCACGAGTATTCACATCAGAGAAGAGGGCTTTTCAGCCTTTTCAGTCCTTACCTTACACCCCCCCCCCCAACCCCTGCATTCTAGGGCCCTGATTTTGGTCCCGTCTTTACAGAAATAGAGAAATTGATCTCAGTTGTTACAGCATATCAACCTGAGCCCTTCACCCTTCCTGGGCTCTCGCCTGCCCTTCCCGTTGGTCCGGGACATATTCCTCTCTCAACCCCTTGGTGACCGAAGCCAGTCTCCTCTTGGTGTCCCTGAGCCTCCCCTGAATGCACTCTAGGATTATTCCAGGATTCTGACTTCTCAGAGTCCTGGGGTCAGAGGGTCTGAGATGTCTGGGAGGCAGCCAAGGGCTGCAGATACTCACAGATGCTCACGGAGTTGGGGTATTCACCAGACATCCTGCAAGGGGGAGACAGCGGATGAGCCCTCCGTAAGCCACTACTCCTCACGGGGGTGTCCAACCCTCTTCTCTCCCCGTGTCCCAGCTTCTTCTCCAGAGACGCGCCCCCTTCAACCCTGTCCTGGCTCCCCACTCCCAACCCCCATCAGCCCAAGCAGGCACTCTCCAAAGCCAGGGGTGAGCGATCTGCTTCAAAGACTCAGTTCCCATCAAAGTGGGGTGGGTGTTGTCTGGTGTGTGGGATAATGGCCTTCGCTGCCCCAAGTTATGCCCTTGTCTGTGGGCATTAAAAGCATGAGCTCACTTCCTCCCTGGCTCGGAACCTCACCTGAACTCAGATGACTCCTGGCGGTCACTCATGCCCCCCACCCCACCCCAACCTAAGGTGCCACCACCCCTGGCACTGCTGTTTCTCAGCACATCCGTTGCCTGGCTTCCTCTCCTCCAGCTCTAAGACACTCACCCTCCATTACTCCCTCTCCTCTAAGTTGGGCCTTTGCTCCTGCACCCCGCCAGAACTACTCTCTCAGAAGGACCCCAGCAGAGACAAATCATCTGTCTTGGGGACAAACGCAGACAGATGCCTGCGCCCCTCACCGGCACTCCTCGCCCTCCAGCAGCTTGCGGTAGGTGGCGATCTCCATGTCCAGGGCCAGCTTGGTGCTCATCAGCTCCTGGTACTCGCGCAGCATCCGGGCCAGCTCCTCCTTGGCCTGCTGCAGGGCGCCCTCCAGCTCGTCCAGCTTGGCCCGGGCGTCCTTGAGGGCACAGTCACCGCGCTGCTCCGCGTCGGCAATGGCCGTCTCCAGGTTGGAGCACTGAAGGCGGGAAAGGATTCCTCACCCTGAGCCAGTCCTGGAATCTGCTCAGGGCATCTGCCCCTGCAGCACTGCCAGCGGTGACTGTCCCCCCTGACTCCTGTGCTGGATCACCCCAGCAAGGGGGGGGCAGTCAAGGGGAAGGACACGTGGGCCCACTGTCGTCACCTCTAAAAGTTTATTGCCAACCCTGAGAAAGCCTTTATTTTGTGTAATCCTGTACAATATTTTTTTAAATGGGAACTAGTAGCTGTTAACGAAACTCCTGCCCCATGAGTGTCTGGCTCTAGAGCTGCAGAGACCCAGCTCACTCTGGCAGATGGAAGCAGACCCATGCAGGAGGGCCCTCAGTGGGCACCGGGCACAGCCACGCGGCTTTCCTGAGCCCCTTCCCTCAGCGTGTGTCCAGGCTAAGGTCCAGGGGCTCTAGGTATCTGGTGCCTGTTCCTGGTGTGTCCCTTAGGTTTGGAGATAAGTTGGCTCCAATTCAACAGGAACCGCTGCTCCCAGGCAAGACGGACCACTGTCTGGCTGGCACCACCCTCCTCCCTCAGCAGGGTTGGATTTGGTGGGGGCGCGATGGCTGGCTGTCTCCATGGAGACCACGAGGTTCCCTTCCTCGATCGAACCCACCTGCTTCTTCACATTCCCTATCTCGGAACGGATCCGCTGGATCAGCCGGTTGATCTCAGAGATCTCAGCCCGGGTGAGCTTGAGGTCGTCACCATGCCGGCCGGCTGTGAGCTGCAGCTCCTGGATCTGTGGGTGACAAGGAGGGTAGGGAGCACAGAACCTGAGCGGGGCCCTGTGGGGTGTCCCAGGAATGGTAAGAGGGCCCTGGGCCTCCTCCTGGTTCTCAGTGTTTGAGAGGCACAGGCAGAACCCAGAGCTAGCGAGGAGAATGTTTTCCTTCTACAGAGCCCCCACACCTCACCAGTTTCACAGGACCCTGTTGTCTAGAGTGAGACCCCAGGAGAGTCTGAGTGTCTGTTTTCACTGTGACAAAATTGGAGACAAGACTAAAAACCAGGATTACCCAGAAAAATTTGTGTGTGTGTATGTGTGTATGTGTGTGTGTGTGTGTGTGTATGTTGTGGGGTCATGATTGGGGTTATGGGTGAGGCCTTGCTACAGAGCCCTGGCAGGGGACAGGGGGGACAGGGCCCCATGGAAGCCCCTCACATGGTTCAAATGATGGTGGCCAGTCCTGGACCCCCAGAGGCAGTTCCACAAGGCATGCTTGGGGAAGAGGGGGTGGTCAGGTCTCGGCACCCGTGTTCCCTGCCCACCTTGGTCTGGTACAGTGCCTCGGCCTCGGCCTTGCTCTTCAGGGCGATGTCCTCGTACTGGGCGCGCACCTCAGCGATGATGCTGTCCAGGTCCAGGTCCCGGTTGTTGTCCATGGACAGGACCACAGACGTGTCGCTGATGTGGGACTGGAGCTGAGCGATCTCCTGGGGACATTTTGGGGAGCGGAGCCAGTGAGAAGGGGTCCATGCAGACTCCTTTTCTCCTGGTCCCACCAACAGGTCTCCAGCTCTCCTACTTCTGCCCTGCCATGGGGGTCCCAGGCTGCCTGCAGCAGCAGTGACCGGTCCTATCTTCTCCCGTGCACCCACGGCTCATCGCCTGCGGTTCCCCTTCTGGACAGGCTTCTTCTCTTGCTCCCACGTCCTCCTCACAGCCCCTTGACTGCTAGCACACTGTGGGCCAGCGACCAGCTTCCTACTGTGCTGAGGGGCATCCAGCTCTGGACCCCCTCGGCCCAAACCATTGCCCTCCTTGGGCTGAGAGTCCCACAGGCGTTGCCGACCATGCTCCCGAGACAGCCGCGAGCTTCTCACCTCGTCATAGAGGTACTTGGAGAACTTGATCTCGTCCGCCAAGGAGTCCACCTTGGCCTGGAGCTCCACCTTGTTCATGTAGGCCGCGTCCACGTCCTGGGGACACAGAAAGAAGAGGGACAGCTGCCCTGTCTCCACACTCCCTCATTGCACAGCAGACGCACAGCAGTCCCCACTGTGGTCCCATGTCCCACAGGAGGGCTCCAGTCCGAGAGCAGATCAAGTCAGCATTCACGTGAGGGCTACTTCGGGGGCGCAGAAGTGACGCTGGCCGGCCAGGGAGCAGCACATGTCCCAGGTTGGACTGAAAGACGAGCACTGGGATCTTCAACTCTCAGGTGTCTGAGTGACCCATGGGGGACTCCCAACCCCCAGACATCACAGAGCGGGTGTCCCGGAACCCACCACCTTCCTCCAGCCCCCCTCACCTTCTTGAGCACCACAAACTCATTCTCAGCAGCTGTACGTCTGTTGATCTCCACCTCGTACCTGTGGGAGAGACGGGACAGCATGTCCATGGGGCTGGTTCTGTTCTGCCAATGCTCCCTGGGTAGTTTTTGGTCACTTCCCATGCCAAGAGCTGCCTGACAGGGGCCTATAGCTGGGGCCGGCACCCCGTGGGCACACACAGCCCTCCTGACAGATCATAGCAGGACACATGGAATAGACACATGGCTGCTCACAGCATGTGCTGCCTCCTGCACCCATCTGAACATGCCCTTGGAGCAGAGAGTCCCTGGGCCACCCCTTTGCCATCACCTCCTCCATCACAGCACAGAGCCTCTACCACCTGGGACACTGGTGAGGGGCATTTGTCTAGGGTACAAACACTTCCTATGCACTGAACAAAATCCATTCCTGCCTGCAGACTGTTAACATTGCACCCTACTTCTTATACAAATTTTGGATCCAGGTGAAGTACAAGGCCTCGGAAAGAGGGTGTGTGTGTGTGTGTGTGTGTGTGTGTGTGTGTGTGTGTGTGTGTGTTAGAGGCAGGGCTGAGGTGTTACCACAGAGTTTGCACAAATGAAGATAGTAAATGTTTTAAGGCTGCATTATTCCATCCCTTCCTATGCCAAAGAGCTGATTTAGGGATGTTTGTATAAAGGACCATTGGTAACACATAGGTAATGCTAGAAAATGCCTTTTTTACGTTTCATTTAGTTTAACACAAGCAACTCTTGGGAGCTTTTTCTTTCTTTCTTTCTTTCATCCATCACTGACTTTTCCACACAAGTGCACAAACACACACACACACACACACACACACACACACACACAGAACTCAGGCCCTGTTGAGTGTCTGAAATAGTAAGGGTTAGTGAAATGGGTTATTTAAAATAAGACTGGAAGATATTTCCAAAGCTTTCAGATTTTTCTCCTAAACTGCACAAAAAATACTTAAAACAGTCTTAAAAATTATCTCAGATTCTATGTATTCAAAGGTAATTGAAATCTTTTATCTAAAATTATATTATAGCTTTTATTACTAACAATCTCCCTCACGTAAAATGTTCAGTCTTACCTTCCAATGAACAGAAATAAAAGCGAAGATGCAAATTACAAACCAGTGAATTTTTAATCATTTATCTTTCTATCTAACAAATACACGAAAAGCTTAATCATGATGATTATCAAAATCGACATTCATTTGTTACAAATAGCTTTTTAAATAAATACAACTTCACTATTTATCTCTTCATAAATGAGTGATCACGATACCTTATAATGCATAATTCAAGTAATGTACTCTCCAAGATTTAATTCCTTAATTAATTGCAGAGTAAAATTTTATAGTAATCCCTAGAGAACATGCAGAGATTTTTATTTGAATTTAGAAATGAAGTCAGGCTTTCTGAACAATGAAATCTCATTTCTCTAATTTTACAATGAAAGCTGACTTTTCCAATGAAAATATATGGTCAATATTTTCTATAAAATAAATCTGCTCTAAAATTGTGAAAACATTTATTTATGTACATTTATTAAAATGTTGGGAGAGGGACCATAATTTTTAAGAAGTTGCCCCGTTCCCAGTGCTGTCTAGTCTACTGAATTAAACTCAATGTCTGAAGCAAGAGAACAGCGTCTAAACAGTCATTTGATTCATCTGGGGAAAGCTATTTTGCAAACTTCCCACAAATCTGAAAGGTAAATGATTTTACTGACTAGAAAACAAATCCCGGTTTTGCAAGTCACACGACAACTTTTGAATTTTGCTTTCAACAAAGAAAAAGATAGAAACTGAGTTGTCAGCACAAAATCTGTTAGATCCTTAGCAATAAATTATGACTCTGACATGCAATCTTTCATCTAAGAAATAATGTCAAATGCGGGGTACTTCAGAGGCATCTGGGATAAGTCAGTGAACAAAGAAAAAAATTCCTTCATGGATCAGAGAGAAACACATGATTAAAAAGTGAATTACACAGAACATGAGGAAAGGTCTATGAAAGGAAGAAAATGCATAAAATCTGGACAGAACCCAAAGAACTGAGTGATACTGCCCTCGCAAAACTCCTCTCAGTAAAATCTCTGCACATGCTCTAATGAGCATGAAATACACAGAGGACTACACTCAGTTACTGACATGGAAAACTGATCTGCCTCTCCAATTCATTAAGAAAGGTATTTCTAAATACATTTTCACATTTAATGATTGGACAAAACGGTAACCCATATTTTACACAGTTCAAAACAAATACCTAACATTATAAAACTTAGACTCAGGGGCCATAACAATATTATAGCAGGTAGGGTGCTTGCCTTGACCCAAGTTTTGATTCCCGGAATCCTTATGGTATCCTGAGTCCTGCTAGGCATGGTCCTTGAGCATAGTGCAAGGAGTAAGCTCTGAGAAGTGCCAGGGGTGACCCAAAAACAAACAAACAAAACAATGAAAAGAAAAGAAGGAACAAAGGAAGAAAAAAGGAAGGAAAGAAAAACGGAAGGAAGGAAGGAAGGAAGGAAGGAAGGAAGGAGGGAGGGAGGGAGGGAGGGAGGGAAGGAGGGAGGGAGGGAGGGAAGGAAGGAAGGAGGAAGAAAGAAAAAATGGAAGGAAGGAAGGAAGGAAGCAAGCAAGGAGAAAGAAAAAGCAGAAGGAAGGAAGGAAGGAAGGAAGGAAGGAAGGAAGGAAGGAAGGAGGAAGGAAGGAGAGAGGAAGGGAGGGAGGGAGGGAGGGAGGGAGGGAAGGAAGGAAGGAAGGAAGGGAGGGAGGGAGGGAGGGAGGGAGGGAGGGAGGAGGGAGGGAGGGAGGGAGGGAGAAAGGGAGGGAGGGAGGGAGAAAGGGAGGGAGGGAGGGAGGGAAGGAAGGAAGGAGGAAGAAAAAACGGAAGGAAGGAAGGAAGGAAGGAAGGAAGGAAGGAAGGAGAGAGGAAGGGAGGGAGGGAGGGAAGGAAGGAAGGGAGGGAGGGAAGGAGGGAGGGAAAAGGAAGGAAGGAAGGAAGGAAGGAAGGAAGGAAGGAAGGAAGGAAGGAAGGAAGACTTAGACTCACAAGAAGCAAACTCCCTGAAACTTTCAAATTTAGAACTCTGCACTTTTATACAGATTAGGGGGATCCATGTACCAATATAGGCATTAGATACATCACACTGGGACAAAATTAAGTGGAGAAAGTAGCATGGAAATTAGGATTCCAGTGAAGAAATGATCAAGACCAAATTTACAGCCTTAAAGCAGAATGTATTTGTTTCCTTTTAGGATAAACGGTGGCAGCTAATCAACAGCTAGGATACGTAGACTGGATAGATGCATCATGTGACATAGGACTCAAGCTGGCATATCTAAACAATTTAATTTGATATGCCTGTTACAAGTTGTTATTTTTGTTGTTGTTGTTGTTTGTTCTGTTTTTTGCTTTTTGGGTCACACCCAACAATACTCAGCGGCTACTCCTGGCTCTACAATCAGGAATCACTTCTGGCGGTGGTCAGGGGACAATATGAGATGCTGGGGACTGAACCCAGGTTGGCTGCATGCAAGGCAAACGCCCTACCTGCTGTACTATCACTCTGGCCCCCGGTTACAAGTTTGAATGGTAAGATACATCATATACTTGAAATTATTATCTTTGTAACTACTTAAATTTCATACAAATTTTCCTATATAATCGTACATTTTTATAAAATGGTGGGGTTGGGGGATGCTAGTGGGCAGTGCTAGCAGTGCTCAGGGATTATTCCTGACTCTGCTCAGGGATCACTCCTGGCAGTGCTCAGGGAACCATACCTGGTACTGGGGGTCACACCATGGTTGTCCACATGCAAGGCAAGCCCTTTAACCACTGTGCTATCTCTCCAGTCCCTCTGTTATTCTTTCTATTTGAGATCTCTTTTAATTTGTGGGTTGTTTCAAATTATTTTGCGAGCACAGAGCCAGGAGGAAGACCTGAGCACCATTGGGTGTGGCCCAGAAACAGAACAAAAAAGTTATTTTAGATTGTCTGTGAGAAAAAAATCTTGACAATTACAGCCACAAAGCATGCTACTGTCCCACAGCCATTCCAAAGAACCTTTACTTTCCTAGAAAGTCCTGGACATTCAAGCACAAGAATGCTGGGATTATGGGGCTGGAGAGATGGTATGGTAGGTAGGGTGCTTGCCTTGCATGCAGTTGACCCATGTTCAACTCATGTGCCCCGCAAGGAGTGATTCTTTAGCACAGAGCCAGGAGTAACCTCTGAGCATCACCAGGTGTAGCCCCCCCAAAAAACAAACAAACAAACAAAAAAGAGTGCTGAAATTAGAATATCTTAGGCTATAGAAAAGAGAAGGACAAATAACTGCCGTGGGAGAGATTAATGATGAAATTAATTTCCAATTAATAATTCAGTCAGTATTTCTTCTCTTACTACATGCTAAACACTGCATGAAACTCTTCACACACACGATTTCATCTATTCCCCAAGGCAACGAAGAGGTAGATTGACTGTGACTCTCTCCCAGTATGGCAAATGAGTCATCCAGACAGAAAACAGTGAAGATGGAACCCAGATCCCAGACCCTTGACAGGAGGGATGTGGCATCTTCCACCTGCAGCATTTCTGCACTCAGAAGAGTTGTGAGACATTCCTGGCTAGCATTACCCTCTCAACAGCTGCTCAAAGCAGCCCGGGAGGGACCAGTACCTGGCATAATTATTAAATTTGTGTTTGATTTGCATAAATATTAAAGCTAAAGTTCACAGAGGCTCGGGACCTGTTGGACTAGCAAGTGGAGATTCTAGATCACCTTCTAGAAGATGACCTGTGGCCACTTCTTTATTACCAGGGTCCTGCTCAAATTTCTACTGGATTCCATCTGCTATTTATTTAGTTATCCCCCATTTTAATCCATGTTGAATATTCATTCCCATGCACTGGGCAATCTCTGAGAGAAACAGAATCCTGGCACCAGAGTCATGTGCTTTCAGAGGGACGTGGTCCAGACCCTGGGAGCAGGGGATGTTAAGAGTGGGACACACAGAGAGACTGAACATGGTGCAAGAGAAATCGCTCACCCTGACCATCTCTACTGCTCCATCAAGGCTTTCTCCCTAGGATTCCTTGGAGTTCCTGGCACCTGGAAACAAGCTTCCAAAACACAGCAGCTCACTAGTTTAAACGTTCTCTTCCCTCCTTGCTGGCTCTACCCACGAGAGAAAGGATGGTTGGTCCCAAGCCTAATCTCCAGGACTCTCTATCAAGGGGATCCAGCAGCAGCAGGGAAATGCCTCGACAGGATAGAGGGCTTGAAAACGGATTTCAGCTTAGCTTCAAGATCTGTTGTGGGAGGAAGTGTGCAGGCTTTCTTGCTCTCAAATAGAAAATCTCACTCAGGAGCCATCAGATTCTTTGTGTTTATCTATGGGGCTTCAAGGAGAGTCTCCCCATCCCGTACCCTGCCTCTCTCTGTTCCTTCATTTCCAGGGTGAAAGATGAAGCACTTGGAGCACCCTTTGGGGTTGATCTTCCGTTATCCTGAGCCTCATGAGAGGCTCATGGCAGTTGTGTGGGCAAATGAACTAGAACATTCTCAAGAGCAAACACAGGTGAGGTGTGATCTCAGGGGCGGCTTCTCGGCCCCACCACTCACCTCTTCTTGGACTCCTCCACCAGATCCTGCATGTTCCTCAGCTCCGAGTCCAGCCTCACCCTGTCTCCCGACAGTGCCTCGAGCTGCTTCCGCAGGGTGCTGATGTAGCCCTCAAAAAAGGGTTCCAGGTTTTTCTTGCAGTTGTTGAGTTCCAGCTGTTGCAGAAGGTTCCACTTGGTTTCCAGCACCTGGTTCTGCTGCTCCAGGAAGCGCACCTGGAAGACAAAGGTGGCCCTAGCCCAGAATCTCTCCACGGGCGCCTCTCCTGAGTAGGGAGAGGACCCCAGAGCTGAGAGGCGGTCATCCTGGGAGAGGGTCAGGACAGGAAAGACCCAGGTGGACTCAGCTATGTATACATACTCAACTATATGTCCAGGTCAAGAGAAAAGAGGGGGAGATGGGTTGGGGTGCAGCTCTGACGGTGCCATGAGCTCTCACTGGATGAAGGGCACTTCTTTTGCTACAACTGTTGATGTTTTTAGAGAGAAGGAAGTGGGAGGCAGGGGAGGAATGGGGATGGAGATTGGTCCTGGAGTTACACCCCTGCTTAGTGCACACTTTCTCACATGCTTTTACTATGCACGTCTGTGCCTCAGTTTCCAAAGCAGACTATCACATACATCTTCACAAGCTTCCTTTGGCTAAGCAACCAAAGACATCACATTTAGGAACTAGATCACTGCAAACTCTGTGGCGACTCGACAGTGTTTTCCTTTTCACAGTTGTGAGAAAGACCAGGGCTAGAGTGATGGTGCGTAAGGTAGGGTGCTTGCCTTGCATGCCACCTACCCAGGTTCGATCCCTGGCACCTTAGATGGTCCCCTGAGCACCACCGAGAGTAATTCCAGGAGTAAACCCTGAGTATCAAAAGTGAACAGGGAGGAAGGGGGAGAAAAGGAGAGTGAGAGTGAAAGAGAATGACAGAGAGAGAGAGAGAGAGAGAGAGAGAGATTGGGAAAGACCAGATTGGGAGGGAGAAGGCATCCTTTTCTTCTGGGATCAGAATTGTGCTACCATCCCTGCCCCTCCCCATCCCACCCCTCACATTGCCTGCCCGAGCACAGTGCTGTCTGTCTACCACCATATCTCAACCTCCCTCATCTCCATTCCTTATCTTCACGGCAGAATGATCAGAGTCGTGGGCTGTGGGTTGCTAAATGAGAACCACCAGGTACCAAGGGAGGCATATGGTCTGTGTTCCCTGTCACTCAGGATCCAGCCCCTTGGCCCCTCTGCCAGGCAGAGACCAGAAAGGTGCGCTTCTGATCTCCTTCCTGTTTATGGGGTCACAACCTCCAACTCCAACATCTGGGTGGTTCCCACACCGGCATGATCCCCAAGCTCTCCCTCCGAATCTTCCTCCTGCAGGCGATGGCTCAGGGCTCTGGTCCTTTTCTCTGTCCTCCTCAAATACGCTCCTGAGGAGCAACCCCATGCTGGTCCCTATCCTCCAACGCATTCCAGTTCATTCTTCCTCTCCTAAGAATCAGGCTCTATAACTCTCACTAGGTTACTCTCGGAGTTGGGTTACTCGGAGACCCCAGCCCCGAGTCTGATGAAAGAGCTGATTCCACACTGCCCTGTCCCTGATTTCCACGCGCTCCTTTGCAAGGATCTCAGTGTGCAGTGGAAGAAATTAAACTCCAATCAGGGAGCTGGAGCAACAGTACAGCAGCAAGTTCCCGGGGTTCGATCCCCGGCATTCCATATGGTCCCCCAGCACCTCCGGGAGTCATTCCTGAGTGCAGAGCCAGGAGTAACCCCTGAACATCACTGAGTGTGGCCCCAAACAAACAAAAAAAAAAAAAGAAGCAAGCAAACAAACAAAACGATCCCATCAGGGGGACTGCTCTTGTGCCAAGCACTTTAAAACACCTACCTCTGTCCAGCTCTCAGGGCGAGCCCTTCCTTGCCCACTTGACGGACGGGGAAGGGGCTCAGAGACGCCCAGCAGCCCAGGGGTCCACACAGCTGCCCCCGCGGCACGAGTACCACCCCGCCTGGTCCCCTCTGCGCGGAAAGGGGGACGCCCGGGACCCACCTTGTCGATGAAGGAGGCGAACTTGTTGTTCAGAGCCTTGATCTGCTCCCGCTCCTGGGCGCGCACCTTCTGGATCTCGGGGTCCAGCTCCATGTTGAGGGGGGCCAGGAGGCTCTTGTTGACGGTGACCTGGGGGATGCCGCCGGGCGGGCACACGGAGGGGCACGCGGGCCCCAGCCCGGCGCTGCCGAACACGGTGCCCACGAAGCCGGCCACGCGCCCGCCGCCGGCGCCCGCGCAGTGGCCCAGCGCGTAGGCGGCGCCGCGGCCAGCGCCCGCGCTCAGGGCCAGCCGGCGGCCGCCCCCCACGCCCCCCACGCTGAAGAGGCTGCGGCTGCCGAAGGCCGCGGTGCTCTTGACGCCGGCGCGGAAGGAGGCCGAGCTGCTGCTGACCCGGCCCGAGATCACCGCGGAGCAGCCGCTGAAGCCCAGGCGCTCCCCGCCGGGGTAGTGGTGCAACTGGCGGCTCATGCTGCGAGGACCGGGGGGCTGGCGCGGCGCAGGAGAGGGGCGCAGGCGGCTGTCCTGGCGCGGGAGAGGGGCGCAGAGTGGCTGTCCCGGCCCGCTCCGTCGCCCCTTAAATAGCCCGGCCCGGGGCCCGGCCGCCGGGAGCAGCCTAATTTGCAGGTCCGGGACGCCTCTTAGGCCACGCTGGGGCCCCTTGCGGTTCTGTTTTCGTAAATTACCATTCCCGACCGAGATTTTTGTCTCCTCCACCCTGAACTCGCCGTGAATCCCCCATAAAGTGGCCAGAACCCTGCATTTGCCTTGCTTCCCTCCTGCATTATAATAATTTGGCGACCTTATCTCCGCTCTCTGCTCTCCAATTACTGAGGTTATATCGCTGTCAGGATCTTCAATAGAAGCTGCCGGTGGGCCTGGGCTTGCTGGAAGGGGCAGCCAGGGGAGGGAGGGCAAGGGAAGGGTATTGGAGGGGGCGTGGGGGGCGAGGGGCAGGTGACCAGGCCGATCCGGCTCCAGGAGTGTACCAGCAAGGTCAAGAATATGCCAGAAAATAGTTTCCTGGTTGTTCCCCGCTGCTTTCCTGGGATAAAGAGGCTCTGTCCTTTTTCCAGAGCACAAACATTCGGAGGACACAGACTTGTGACCAGTCACTGGGGTCTTCCCCTTGCATCCGCACAGCAGCGAGAAGAACAAGGCCAATGAGGGGACTGTGGGGGTGGACGCGAAGTTCCCCCCGAAAAGCAGTTCTGGACTCAAACTGGGAGTCGGGATTCTAGTTTGGAAGGAGGGAAGGAGACTGGGGAGATGGAGGGTTAAGTCACTTGCCTTGCAAGGGGTCAATCCCAGTTCAAGCTCCAGTATTGCATGTGATGGTCCGAGACTCATCAGGAATAGCCCCTGAGCAATGCAGGTTGTATCCCAACCCTCCGCACCCCCCACAACACACCAACAACAAACTGGGGAGATGGCACAGAAATGCTTTAGGCAGATGCCTATCCCGGGGTTTTGTGGTATCCATCCAATCGAAGGAACTTCTAATCAAGACTTTGGCTGCCCTGATGACTCATTCTGTACGAAAATGTGAAGAACCAAGAAGACTCCTTTGATAGGCTAAAAGAAGGTTCTAGAATTTTATCCCATCTAAGCCCAGGAGCATCTTTCTTCAATCTAATCCATTTTCCTGCTTTCCAATCTGAGTCCCTTTCATTCTTCTCTCCCCTTAGAAGCATCCCTTTCTCATGCGCTCCTCTGGCCCCCAGGTGGGTCCTGTATTGTCACTGATTTCTCAGTCTGCCCATGGATGTCCTTGGAATACATTTCCTTTCTCCCATCAGATTGACCGGCCCCTCTGGCCTCACCCCCACGCTCAGCCCAGGCCTTGGCTCCTGCCCAGACAGTGAGGATGAAACTAGACCTTCAGTTATACCCTGGAGTCTGAGTGTCCCTTAGGTTTCGCGGGGGGGTGGCCCGAGGGTGACTGATGGACACAGTCTCCCCAGAACCAATCACAGAGCTTAATGACAACCATGCTGTTTACCCCACGGGGAACAGGGCCATGGGGACAGGGGTGAGTAATGGGGCTGGCGCCACCTCAGATGAACAGATAGAAGAGTCTGGGGTGTCCTGAGAGGGGCCCAAAGTGGACTTTCTGTGCTAAAAGATGGGGCTGCTGTCCACTCCCTCTGGAGAAGGAAGTCAATGATGGTCATTGAAGAAATTCAAGATTCTTTTCATTATTTCACAATATTGCTCCCTCTGTTCCATAATTGCTTCTCATTTTGTGACCCTGCACACACACAAGAAAAAATTCTTTAAATTCTGGCCTTTGAGGATAAAAATGGTCCCGAGTTTAAGTTGAAATGGGTGAGATTTGCATAAAGTAGACTTTCCAAGGGAAACTTTGAAGTTGTCCTTGTCTTTATTTTCTGAAAACGTTTGAAAAAGCCAAGCCACTGCTGCCAGGTGAGCAAGCAGGTAGAATGACCTTTCCTTATCTGCCCAGGAAGGGCTGACTAGCTAGGATGAATCAGGAATTCCTCAATCCCCAGGATCCCCTTTCTTCAGATGATGAGACAAGGTGACACACCAGGTCGCAAAGACATCAGCTGTGTGGTGTGTGGGCAGATCAAAAGGTGACAAAGGTCCCGCAGGAGGGGTTCTCATGGCCCCTGGTCTCTATCAGCAGCTTCCCTCATCTCAGGTCCATGGGTCAACACGGCCATCCACTCTGGGTGAGAGCAACCCCCGTACAGGCAAACTCGGCCAACGCTTCTCTCTTTGGAACCAGAGATCTACAGCCAAAGGAACCACTGTCAGCAGAGATGGCATACGTGTTGCTGATTAAACAGAATCTTTTGCCCTGGACTCTAGTGGCTAAGAAACCAACAGGCATCAGGTAGAAGGTGTGTTCCTGGAAGGATCCACGACAGGTTTTTAACTACGAAACTAAAGAGACACCTTTCGAGTCATAGTTTGCTCAATGATTCTTTAATACCCAAGAGAGGCCCAGAGCTCTCTGCTTTCCACACACAGCTGCAACAAAGAGGTTGACCTTCATTTTTTTTCTTTCTGAATTTTCTACTAGGATGAGTCTTCTAATATATTTTGTGAATGAATAATTGCTTTAAAACTAGTGGAAGGGCTAGAGAGATAGTACAGTGTGCAGTGCACTTGTTTTATCTGCAACCAACCTGGGTTTGATTCCAGATATCCCATATGGTCCCCGAGCACCACCAGGAGTAATAGCCCCTGAGCATCACTGGGTCACTGGGTGTGACACACACACATACACACACACACACACACACACACACAACCAAACTAGCAAAGAGGAAGGAGGGTCAGTGCCTTCAGGAAAATAGGTACATTGGGACAGAAAGGATCCTTGTAGCCCCTGATTCAAGGGTACCACCAGGGCACCTGGCAGGAGGGAGGAAGGAAGGCTGTGATTTGGCGCTGAGTCTGGACTGAGTCATTCACATCATATCAGGACTCTGATTCTTGGGGACAGCGTCAGTGAGGGGAGCACACACGGCCAGGAATGAACACAGAGCCGGGACCCAGGAAATGCTGGGCTGGAAGAGCAGAGAGAAATGGCAAAGTCGGAAACAGCCAAGGAGCTGGACTGAAGGGGCAGCAGTCACACCTCTGCCGGAGGGGTTGCGCGCAGCTGGAAGATGGTTCTCGAGGCTGCCTGCCTGCACACTGCAGCTGGCCGACTGACAGCGTGAGCCGGTGAGCTGGTGGCGGGAGATCCAGCCTGGGCATTGCTCTTTGAGAGCCTCGGTACAGCTTCTCCACAGCTAATTTCTATTTTAAGCAAAATACCCTACGGAGCCATCCCTGGCAAATTCTCCGAAAGATGCTTCTGCCTCCTGGTTGGAACCCAGAGCCCCCAAACTGAAAGGGGCCTGTCAAACAGGCTGTACTGGGCACAAAGTGGCTAGGAAGAGAGGTTATCTTTAACCGAGCCACCGAGACAGAGAGAATCACCACCCATACCTGCTGTGACTGTCTGGGTGCTGCAACCCAGTCACAGAGCCCAAGGCTCTCAGATCCCCTCCTGCTATCTGCACGCTTGTGCAAGATTTGAGTTGCAGAACCCACAGATCAGGGTGGACCCCAGCCAAGGAATAAGTGACCACCTGTTGTGGCTGGGAGAGCCTGGTAGGGGATCAGTCTAGGACAGAGGGCGACTCTAGCCCCTCTGCTCCCACTCTAGTGAGACTTCCTACAAGGAACATCTTTACTTCCTGCTGCCTCCACTTCTTCCCTGTACTGGCACCAGAGCCCCAACCACTTAAACACAGGCAAAAAGGTCAGTCTATAGGTTCATACCAGAGTGGCAAGAGTGAGGAACCCAGGACACTATTCTGCTGCCAATAACCCAAATACAAGGCAACATAGCGACCAAATGAAAGATAGATATTATTCTCAACACAGAGGTTTCGAGAATAAATAGCAAACACAGAAATTTGCTAGAACTTATGGAGGAAAGCAAGACCCCCAGGGAAATATCCATGAGTTGGAACTGGGTAGCATTACTGAAGACACATTTAAAGCAACATTTGTAACAGCACTAAGGGAAGGGGAAAAAAAAGTCTATCAAAAAAAATAAACCAAAATGAGACAGATAACAAAAACTGAGAATAATAATATTAATAAAAAGCTTCAAACGCAATTAATAAACTTCAAAAGTGCAATAATTGAACTAAAGAATACTTTAGAAGGGTTTCCTCAGAGTCAGAAATAGCTGAGAGCATTGGTGAGTTGGAAACTAAGGCAGCGAGAGAACACTGGAAAAGGAATTATGGAAATGCAAAGAGTTCAAGGGTTTTTCGGAACTTCATCCAGAGCAGAATTATCTACATGATAGGGGTCTCTGTGGAAGGGAGAAAAAAGAAACCACCTTTGAAGAAATGATAGCTGAGAACTTCCCTAATTTGGGGGAAAACTACAAGAGCTTCAGAAAGCCCCAAGTGAAATAGAGCCAAACAAATATGCCTCCGGATATATTACAATTAGAGCATTAAAGACTAGAGATAAGAACATATTACACAAGCATCTAGAGGGAAATGAATCACATACAAGGGAACTCCTCATTTCAGTAAATTTTTCAGTCAAAATAAGGCAGGCAATGGTTGGAAATGCACATTGCAATCAAAGTCCTAAGAGACAGGATTTCTACCAACAATATCTGAAGTGAAAGATTGTCATTTTGTATGGAAAAAGGAATAAGAATTTTTGCAAACATTAAACAATTCATCACCACCAAACTCGCCCTACAAGAAACATTAAAGAGAGGCATAAAATGAAACGCAACTTTTACCTAGAAGTAATAAGAGCACAATCGCACAACATAGGGTGAAGAAACATAAACATGTGACCCATAAATATGAGTAGAAGACCAATCTATCCATAGGTCACGATATAAACTTTATAGATCTCAAGACAATCTTAAAAAAAATCTATGGAGAAAAAAATAAGAAAATGGAAAAGATACTCAA